TCCCAAAAGAACTTTTTTTTTTTTTTTTTTTTTTTTTGCACGTGCTCAGCCGTAGATAAATCATTACTTGCTCGATGACTCTTTGATTTAAATACGAAACAAATGCGCGTAAAAAACATCAAATGATAGGGTTATTAAGAAAAAAAGAAAATCGAATTATTTTGCGGAAAAGGTTTGATTTTGAATCATTATACTAAGGACTGGTTTGACTTATATCGTTGATCCTTATTCTCTACCCTGGTTACAGCTTTTCCGCATGGTGGAAAGTATGTACTTTTCAGTGAGGTTGTTTTCACCCTTCTCCCGGAGAACCAAAACGCAACAAGAAATGACCCTACATAAAATAAGAGCCCCTAAATGTCCGCAAAATTGGAGACATGCCTCCAAAAAACGCGCAAAAGAAAAAAAAAACAAAAACAAAAAAGAGGGTAAAGGACAGCAACCTTGTAAGCCGAATTATTTACGGTCATAAATAAAATGGCTGGATGGAGGCAGCTGTGTCACGTGACAGAGGGCAAGGGACTGTTTCCTTTTTCTTTTTATTTTTGTGGGACACACCCGGAATGCCTGTTGCGTCATCCGCGAACTTTAATTTTCTCCTCTCGCTGCACGCGAGACTCGTCGCTCGACGGGGATGCTGCTGCTCTCTCCCGATGCGTCTGATCGCCGCTATTTGGTTTTTTTTTTAGGTCATCGTTCCCTTTAAGGACGCCCGATAACGATACGATGAATGAGCAAAGGGTACCGGCGGTGCATATGGGCCGTCGTTAATCGAAGATATCGGAACGCTCCACAGAAATTTCCTGAGTTGTAGAGTAGGTCGGGCCGATACCTCCGATAACGATACCCCGATAACAAAAGAGAGTTTTAGCAGATCGTTTTTTTTTTTCGCCACGATAACGATACCTGCTCTCCTCTCCGGCGGCCTTGGGTAGGCATCGTATTGTTATCGGGTGTCGTTATCGGGGCGAAAAAAAAACGATCGGCTGAAACTCTCTATTGTTATCGCGGTATCGTTATCGGAGGTATGGGAGCGATATACCGAAACTTGCGATTGGACCGGAGACGCCTTTGCGCGTGCGTCGTATCGTTGCCCGGTATCGTTATCGAATATGTTTGGGAAGGACTTGGTAAAACTCTCTGTTCCGTATCGCTTGGGAACAAAGTGGTGCAAGTGGTGGACTTAGATTCTTCGGAGCAGATGGTTTTCGAAGGCCAAGGATACTACGACAAACCCTTTACTCTTGGGAGTGAGATTGAGTGAAGTTTGCGGTCCTAGCGCACCTCCAAGGTGCGCCGGGACCGCATTTGTTTCGCGCAAATATCGAGTAAAGGAAGCTTGCCTCGATTAAAAGCTGCGATTAATAGCCGTAATTTTCCCGTCCAACCTACATGGGCAAGCCTTTTTCGCTTAAAATGGGGGAAAAAAATAATGGAAAAGCATCGCGTGGGTCATTATGGTGTTCGATTTTCCCTGCGGGGTACCGAAGGTTCGACCAGGTTGCCCGCATGTTATATCGTGTCTGGCCATCTGTCTGGCCAGCGCAAGGTGGCCAAGGGCAATCGGCCAAACAAACGCTGTTCTGTTGCTGAAAAAAAAAAAAAAAAAAAAAAAAAAAAAAAACGGGTGCAGGAGTATGTGCGGGGGCTTCGTTTCGGGTCGCGGCGGGCGACGATGCAAGTCAATAGACGACTACGGGTTGATGAACCGGCGCCTTGTGTCATTCCACGAAATGGGTACACAACAAGGGAGACGCAACAAAACCGCCACAAGAAATGGGGGAAAGAAAAAAAAAAGGTTAACGTTCTTTCGAACCATTCCTTCTTTCGATTCCCGTTGAGTAAAACGGCGGTCGCACCGCTAGTGTACATCGTACAAGAGCAAGTATGCAGACGCTGTCTGGGGTATATCTCGTGTGACGGTCACATTGGTGGTACAGACACTGTCGGCAGACATGTAAGGAGCATTTACGAAGTTGACGTGCTTCGAGGATGCTTTGAGACGTGTGCGCAAATGCTTCCCTCGTCGGGTCTGCAGCCATGCACCCGCGTCCTTTGTACGTACGGGCAGTGTAACTCGTGGCTTAATCGACGAGGGATATAAAGTTTGGTTTCTCTCGGTATTTTGCTTTTTGGATGCATCTCTTTCACAACAGAAACACATCTACGTGTCGAAACAAATATCTACATAGATATAAAAATTAACCTCGATTGCGCGGAGAAAAGAAAAAAGTCTCCCTCTTTCGGAAGTTCGTAAAACGGCACTTCCATTCTGAGGCGGGAGTCGCGCGTGCTTTTACGAACTGCCGTTGACGACGGCCATCTGCTTAGGATCGCGGGTATATGCGGATCGGAAGGATTCTAAATATGGCTGCGTATTTACTCTTCCCAAACGTGGGCTGACCGGTCACCCGCTTACGAACCCCCGGTCCCGTAGACTGCTGCCTCAAACAAAAAACTTCTAAACTAAACTAAAAAAAAAAAAAAAAAAAAAAAAGGGGGGGGGGGGGGGCGTGTTGTAGTACGGTGGGAGTCGACGGGACTGCATCACGTCGAACACGACAGTCGAGCGAACCGTACGCACTTCCGCGTCCGTGCTTGCTAATTTTTGTAACCAAGGAGGCTGGCTGCACGCACCTCTGTTACCTACCTACGTGAATTGCGCGTGGGGGGTGTTTTGACGTTTTATTATAAGGAGTATTCACTGGGCGGCCATATTTGTGGGTGATGTCTAGAGCGCGTGCTCAGAACGAGCCCACATTAGTAGGCTGCTAAGACCGGCAATCTTGAGGGTGCGGAATGCACGTTACAAAAGAACTGTGGAAGCTCGCCATCGGCACGCGCTCAGCATTCGCGCACACAGCTATATCCGCCAGTGAATACTTCCTATACCTCCATAGTAAGAGGGAGATCGGTGGCCGAGTGGGCTACAGCGCAGTCCGGCTTGGAGCGCGTGGAGCGAAAGCTCGCGCTACAGAACCCAGGAGTCCTGGGCTCAGTCTTCAACCCCTGCCAGTTTCGATCTGGATGAGCGTCGTACCGGCGTGCGGTCCTGGATCCTCTGCTGCGTGATGCACCCCAGGCTAGCGGTTGTACCGGACTGGCTAAATTCATTATCTACAGCTGAGACACCGTCCATTGAGGCTGATCAACTTTCGGTTGTGCAAGCATGCGCTCGACGCAAATATTATTTATTATATAGCGGGAGAAAAAGTCGTCCGCTGGTCGCGGGAGGCCCGTCCGCGTGAAGTGGACAGATCGGGATAATGTGTGAAATGGCTCTAAAATGTGATGGAAGACTTCACGGGCGCCGACGACAAATATTCCTAGAATTTTACGCTCGAATTCCTAAGCGGTTTAATAAAGAAATGTCTACGCGCTACGAGACGGCGCAAAATGCTATCGTTTCTCTACGACAGATGTGCGCAGCAATTTCAAAAACAATTTCCTTATACTTTTACTTTACTCGTACCGTTTAATGTCGGACAAAATGTAACCGCCTATGTTGCTACCTTACAAACACAATCTGCAGCACTAAAATGAGTAATGACAAACCTTCAGCTATGATAGGTAAAGAGACACAGAGAGAGAGAGAGACCAACAATGGCGTGTTCACCAGGCTACGGGAGGTGAAGCCAGAAGTGTGGAGGGACACGGGGGTTCAACGACGATGAAAGCCTAGCAATGGCGGCTGATAGGGCAACTACCTTTTCACTGCCAATCTGGTTGTGTATGTACTACCTCACAGGTCTTAACCAGCCCAGCCAAGACAATCCAATACGCTTTAGGGCCAAATTAAATACCCACTTCGTGAAAAAGAAAACTGGAAAATAAACAGCACGCGTGTCCGGAGTTTAAGCCGCGGTTTGAGTTCGGAGCAGACGCCGTGTGAACTGCGCCATTTCCTTGGCTAGGCAAAGCCCCCAGGCACGCTATCTTGAAACTGCCCTTAGTCGCCTTCTGTGTCGATAATGCCACCGCCCGCACAAGGACGTCCGGCAGCGTTGGCGAGGTTAGGTTACGATAACGACGCCGGGGCGTGGTTACGACATCCAGAGGCCTCGATGACGTTCGAACAAGTTTGTGGCGGAAGACGGAAGTTTTCGATACACGATAACGCCGTTAGGCAACGTTAACGATGGTGAGCGACGTTAGCATCGCGAAACCAGTTCGTATACCCTGTCCACCCCATAGCACGGTGAGAGGTATACGTGCCCGCCGGACCGATTGGCCGCCAGCCCTTTGTCACGTGAACCCTTCCGTCACATACCCGATACCGCGGCGCCGCCTTTGCGATGCGTCGTATCGTTATCGGGGGTACCGGAGGTATGGGAACTGTCTACCCAAACTTTTTACTGTCAGCTCAGGGGTGGACGAAGTATAGTCTTGCGTATAGCATAACGGGATTTCTTTGCCGCCAGGTGACGTTGGCAAGGAGGCCCGTTCATTCACTTGCGTTCAGAGCGACCGCTACGACTACGAATAAATGCAACCGGTTGTATCGACGAGTTGCCGTGGCAACGAAGCGCCCAACGACCGTTTGGTTCGTATTCGTTCGCAACGCAAGGAGTTGAGCCGGGCTGAACTTGTTCGCTACGTTTGGGAACGAACGGAGCGACCACAACGACACACCAATCGTAGCTCGAGGAGAGCTCGGCCGCGCGCGTTACATGCAGCTCTTGGTTCCTGCTATCTGCTGCAAAAACATGGCGTCCGTGGTGATCATCGGCGTGATGTAAGCTCGTCGTTTCGCTTAGAGCGCCCTCCTTGACTGTGAATTCCCGTCGTGTGTCGCGGTGATGAACCCGCACGTCCTAGAATAAAAGATTCATGTACAAAGAAAAAACGAACAGTGCGCGCCAGGAAATGGCTGGGTCGACATAATCGGTTTTATTATTACCGTTCAAACTACAGAGAGAGAGAGAGAGAGAGAAAAGAGCGGAAACTTTTCTTTACCGGAAACACCCGAAGGACAGTCATTCAAAGACAAGGAATTTGCTAACACATGAGGAAGTCCTCTTCGAAAAATTTCCTTCAGAGACCTAGAGATTGAACTGACAGTCAAGTATTCGAAGACACTCGGAAAGACGCCCTTTTTCGTAACCTCACCGACAAAAAAAATTTTTTTTTTTTGTTCTGTCAGTCGTTTTGACAAAGAGAGCAATGTACATACCCCTCGAGCTAATTGCGGCGACCGTAGCGAAGCACGTGCCAACAACTCTCCACTTGCGGCCAGCGGCGGAACTTCGTTACGTCTACGACGCTCTGATCGGCTCGCTCGCAGGGGTTGTTGCTTCTCCTCCTTTGACAGGTTATGCAGAGCGTAGCGCGTACGAGCCCATTTTATCCATTGACAGATAAATCTCGGACGCGTATTGGGGTAAACCCACGGGGCAGAATCTGACGCCCTGAATGGCCCATTTCGAGCACGTCAGGACCGCGCTATTCCGCTCCTTTCTTCTTTTGAACTACACAGCCGCACCAGGGTTTACGGAGGTATGAGGGAAAGGGGGGGGGGGGGGGGGGGGGGAGGGGGCGAGGCTTAGTTGAACGCGTTTCAGTGGTTCCGCCGCTAGGCCTTCACCTGCTCGGACCAATACCACCTCGAAGACGAGGGCTACGCCTTTAGCTTCGCTTACGTCATCACCAGCGGATACACGCAGAGCCGCCTAGTTTGCTTCAGAAGGCGGTGACGCCAAAACGGACCCGTCGGCCGCTTGGGGCGGGTCCGGGAGGGGGGGATCCACAAGCGGTGACGTCACGAGCAGCAGGCCTCGTCTCGTAGGTGGTATTGCTCGCGGACTCCCGCTCAGACGAGGTTGTTGTTGACGGACGGCACGGGCGTGAGCGGCAGCTCGGACGGGGTGACGTTGTCCCTCCGCGCCTTGGCCCTCAGCTCCCGGGGCAGGTCTCTGTAGGCGGTCTCCGGGAGGGCCTCGTTGCACCGGTAGACCAGGTCGGACCAGATGATGGCCTCCTGGGAGAAGCAGAACACTCCGAGGCGTCCCCCTTGCAGCGTCGAGTCGTACACGTTGCCGGAGTCGGCGACCAGCTGGTCCCCTTCGAAGACGCGCAGGCGCACGAGTCCCAGGGCGGGTCGGTGCAGCAGGAGCCAGCGGTAGGCCACTTTCTCCTTCCAGCCCACGTTGCGGGGGTCGCGCCACAGCAGGCGCACCTGGGAGAACCGGAAGAGTTTGACGCCAACACCGCCAGGCCCCATAAATTTTATCGAACCCACTTCGAACACATCGCTAAAAGCAGCCTTCCAGTCCACGAAATTGTCATTCACCACGAAAGTGAGAATATATATATATATATTTTTCAAATCAATGTAAAAAAAGAAAGTGGTGGATTTATCGACTTTTGGGTAAATGAAGGTGAAGAAAAAGTAGAAAAAGAATCGTTTTGAATTTGCTCTGGTTCCCTCCTTTGTTCACTCAAATGCAACGACCCACAATAACTCTTTTTTTTTTTTTAATTTTGACTTGAAAGAGGTTAAGCTTCCTGTTTAGCGATTGGCAAACATTACTTTTATTTGATTGATGCATGCCTCCACTCTCATACTTTCGCAGAATAAATTAATCACTTCGCTCACTTTCATTATGAATTAAAGTGTAACATGGACTGTCGATTTCTGTGATTTATCTAAAGCGGGGTCGGTCCTTCGGGAACACGCGGCGGAGTAAAGGGAACCGCCAGCCAAGACTCCCGAGAGCTTCCAGTCTCAGGGCCAGCGTTCGTGAAGGTACCTGGCCGTGCGTGTCTCCCGTGTGCCAGAGCGCGTTGCGGAGCGTCTCCCCTGGCCCGGTGTCCGAATTGACGAGTTTGAGCTGGATACCAGGCTCCGCGACGGCCCTGAACGGCGTGGCCTGCCAGTACGTCTGGCTGCTCTTCTTCCACATGACGGCGTAGAAGCGGCCGTTGTCCTGGTAGCCGAACACGAAGCCCACGTAGTCGTCGTCCACTTCGGTGTCCACGAAGAAGGTACCTGGGAAAGGTGCATAGAGCGGACCAGCTGATGCTGATGACACGCCACTGGAGGAGCGGACAAGGCTTGAGTCAATATTGATCCGCTGTTACGTGTGTTGTACGGAGAATACTCTCGAAGGTAGTGAGAGATGGAGATATAGGCAAGGATTGAGACAATGCCGATGGTCCGTCTGTCACGCATTTGGTATTGCGGGTACTTCTGAAGGTACTGAGAGATGGATACAGGTGACGTTTAAGAAAACACCGCTGGTCCGTTGTGACGCATGTGGTACAGAGAGCACTTACTAGAGGTTTAAGACAATACCGACGATCCGTTGTGACGGATGTGGTTCTGAGAGTAGTGAAGGCGCTGAGAAATGGAGACAGACAAGGCTCGAGATAGCGCCGATGGTCCGTTGTCACGTATGTGGCAATGAGAGTACTCGTGAAGATAATGAGATATGGAGACATTGACAGTGCTTAAGACAACACCGATGGCCCGTTGTGACGTATGTTATGTACTGAGAGCATTCCTGAATGAACATAGAGATGGAGAGTCTGGAGACTGACAAGGCTTGAGGCAATACCGATGGCCCGATGTGACTCATGACGTACTGCTGACAGCGTGCTGGTCGGGGGGCAGAGGGCTCACCTTCGAAATCGACTCCTCCGAATTTTTGGTATCCGACCGCGAGTCCGGGGTCTGAGTTCATGGTTTGCACTATCTCGGCGCCCTTGTTGTAGACCACCCAGTGGGGATCTATCTGGGAGTCTCCTTCGGGATCCAGCACCACTGTTTGATACGCCCTGAAGAAAAGCCAACAAAAACAAAATGCAGCGGTTTAGATCGATAAACTGCGTTTAAGGAGGGGAAGGGGGGTTGAACACTGGTCTGTTGGTTACCGATTGTAGTGTAACCCTCCACATAAAGAAAACAAAACAAATAGGCATATGTTTTGCGTTTGAAGCTAGAAATCCTGGTTGATCGCATTCGACAGATGTTGATTTATTTAGCTGCAAGAGCCTGTTCTTTGATTATATTTACGGAAGAGCTTGAGAATAGCGACAAATGTGGCCCAAACACGTATGCTCTTTCCGAAAACATAGACTTTTTTTGGTGACTTTTTTGTGATTGATGCATGTTTTGGGACTAACAATTATTACAAAAATCAGTAAAAAAATTATGCCTTTATCTTCGTCCCGGTGTCCGCCCATCCACGACTTCTGTGGCGCCATAAGACGCACGAACATCATGATCATGGTCATCGCCGTGCACTCGATGATCACCTGAAGTCCGTGGCGTAGACGCGCCTGTTGTCCGGGCAGACGTCCAGCGGATCTGGGATGGAGTCTCCGTCGAAGTCCTCCTTGCAGGCGTCTCCGACGCCCGTCCGGTTGGTGTCCCGCTGGTCCGGGTTGTACACGAGGGCGCAGTTGTCCGCCGAGTCCGGCACGCCGTCGTTGTCCTTGTCGAAGTCGCACGCATCGCCCCGGCCGTCCTCGTCCGTGTCCAGCTGGTCCGAGTTGGCGTCGTCCGGGCAGTTGTCCCACGAGTCCTGGGTGCGGTGTTTACGCGGCCCGTCACAAAAAAATCTCCACACACTAAAAAAAAAAAAGAAAAAAAAAAAAAGAACTCTGTTTGGAAGTTTAGAGACAAGTTCGTTCTGCCGCATGCAGCTTGGCTACATTTAAAAGATAATACAGTCAGTGCGCAGGAGAGCTGGTAAAAGCTTACCACGATGTCTCAGGTTCAATTCGTCGTGGTAAACCTAAAGATAGTTCCACAAAGTTGGCTGAGGGGACACTCCTTATTTCGTTTCGGAGTGAGCACTCGGACTTCACCCAATTTCAATAATACCAAAGAAAACAAAAACAGATACAGTTTAAATTATCAGCAAAAAGTAAATTTCCATCTTTTAGGTGCCAAGCGGACGGAGGGCGTGTGGAACGCCCGAACGAAGGGCTGAAGGAGTTGACTGGCGTGCACGCGCAACGAAAGCTCTGCGAAAGTAGACCGTGCGTGCCGAAGGCCGGTCATCCGAAAGAAACAACGCCCCGCCGCTGTGACCGTGTAGTGCATACCTGTATGCCGTCGCGGTCCCTGTCGATGTTGTCGTCGCAGGCGTCTCCCACGAGATCCCTGTCGGAGTCGATCTGATCGGGGTTCTTGGCGCGCGGGCAGTTGTCGCACGCGTCTCCGAGACCGTCGCCGTCGCTGTCGCGCTGGTCCGCGTTGGGCGTCGTCGGGCAGTTGTCCCTCTCGTTGAGAACGCCGTCGTCGTCGGCGTCCGGGTCGCACAGGTCGCCCAGGCCGTCGCCGTCAGAGTCGACCTGCGCGGGGGAGGAGGATAGAGCTGCTCGGCGTCATCTCCCGACGGGTGCGGGAAGCGTGCAATCGACAGCAGAAGGCCCGGTAACGATTACTCGTCGCTCCTATATTTTTAAGGCTTGTTCACACACTTGCGACTGGTTACGACCGTGTTCATTAAAAACATCCGAAAATCTCTTACTACAATCTATTGGGTAGCAGCCCGACATTTGTTTTCGCGCTTCATTCCTTCTTTCTTAGCTTGACAAAAGTAGTGACAACTCAAATATGGCGACACTTTCGCCCTACGAGTCACTTCATAGATGGCACCAGCGTGCCACTGCGTGTTCCGTCGTCGAAAGAGACCGCGAGAACTCGGTCGTAAGCAAACGCAAAACCTGGTCCGGGTTCGGCACGGTGGGGCAGTTGTCGCAGGCGTCGCCCAGGTGGTCCGGTCCGTCCGGGTCGGTGTCCTCCTGGCCCGGGTTGGCGACGAGCGGGCAGTTGTCCGGGCTGTTGAGCACCCCGTCGTCGTCGGCGTCTTCGTCGCACGCGTCGCCCGTGCCGTCGCCGTCCGCGTCCTCCTGGCCCGAGTTGGGCGTGCCCGGGCAGTTGTCGGCACGGCAGCGCCTGCACCACGACACCGTTGGAAAAGGGGGCGTTGATTGTCGATCGAACCCTACCGAAGGCCGAGGTCGATCCGGTTCGAATTTCGAACGCAAAGTTCGACAGATGTTCGCGTTTTGGTTATGCGCTAAATGATTCCCTCGTTGTACGGGCAGCCTTGACCGCAGTTGAGTCACCGTTCACTGCAGTTACGCGTCATCACACTTACCTCACCGTGCTCTCGGACAGCTATTTCAAAAGTGAAGAGTGCGCATGCGCAGCTTTGATGGGCGCTCAAGATGTCCAAGCGCCCGTGCGCCCGTAGCTTTGACTGCACAGCGACAGAACGTTGTTCAAAAGTATCGTGTGGTGACTGTGGCTTAGCGTAACCGCAGTCAAGTGTGCCCATTTGACTGGGGTATTGCACGGACACTCTTAACTGCAGTTACGCTTACTCACAGTTACTATACTGTTGAACCACGTTCTGTGGCTACGCAGTCAGAGCTATGGGCACAAGTGCTCTTGCGCATCTTGAGCGGCCATCGGAGCTGTGCACGGGCACTCTTCCCTTTTGAAATAGCTGTCCGAAAGTATATATCCGGTAACTGTGGTTAAGCGTAACTGCAGCTAAACGCCACTTAACCGCGGTCAAGAATGCGCGTGTAAATAGGGTGTTATACCCGTGCCACACGGGCAACTCGAATGCCATTTACAACGAAGGACATTAGAGCGGACGGCCAATCAGCGCGCGACACTCCGGGCGTGGCGCATTCCACGCGCGACAGATTGCGAGCTGATTCGGCGATCACACAGATGTCATTCGTTGTAAATGGCATTCGAGTTGCCCGTGTGGCACGGGTATTAGTTTCTTCAATGCACACCACCAACTCGCCCAAATTTCAACACTTTATCGGGTCGTACCGAAAGCAAGGCATTCTATACCTGAGTCCCACTAGGGCGACAAACGGAACCTGCCGACGCCGACAAGCCTGAAACACGTGCAGCATGCACGCGAAGGCGCCTTTGGCAGGCCGGCAGAACCTGCGAAAGATACCCTGCTGCACGTGTTTGGGGGCTTGTCGGTGTCGGCTGTTTCCGTTTGTCGCTCTAGTGGGGCTCGGCTATAATCAGAGGACCCGAGTTCTCCCTGGTTCGGCTGCTTCAAAGCCCCCTTTTCCTGACCTACGCGCACGTTGGCTCCTTCCTCCGCGAACCCACCGGTGTCCACAGGGCAGCGACGCGTCGGGCCATCCGTCGAGGTCCCTGTCGGTGCCGCACAGGCGTCCGTCTCCGGCCCAGCCGACGCGGCAGCGGCAGGCGTACGTGCCCGAGCCCCTCCTGGGCAGGCAGTCGGCGTTGCCGTCGCACAGCGAGCCGTCCGGGCAGGTGCCCGGCCGCGGGTGGCAGCCCGCCGTCTGGTTGCCCATAAAGCCTTCCAGGCACTCGCCGCACACCCTGTGGACGCGACGCGAGAGAAAAAGAAAAAAAATTCTTTCTTAGACATGCCGTTTACTGCAAAGGAAGCTCTTACTATCGGAATTAAGTGGGGAAGTTGTGACCCTATGACGTCAGAACTCCATGACGTCACAGCACCAGGACTTTATGTTACAACGTGACGATTTCCCCGCTCAATTTAGCGGGGTAATTGACGTCTCGTGACGCCATGATATCAGGTGGCTCCACGATAGGAAACTGACGTCACTTTCCCCGGCTAAATTTGACGGAGAGATGGATGTCACGTGACACCGCGAGGTAAGGTGATATCGTGACGTCATGCCGCCCGACGAACGCGAGGAAGAAAGGCCCGCGGAGCGTTCCCATATAAAACGTCCTTCGATTCATGTCCCTGTCAGCGATCACGAGGAGCGTTTACTGGCAGTCGTATAGTGGTGCGCCCTGCGGCTAAGCGCGTGCAGACATCGTTCGCCAGATACCTTTCGCAGACGACCTTTGTCCACACAGATCGGACTCATGACATGTAGATGCTTCCTCTAGAGTAATGAGCGATTTTTGAGCATAGAAGGATGGATGGATGGATGAATGCGGCTGAGCACTTTGGATCGGGCGGTAGCTTATGCCACCTAGCCATTTTGTTTTACCATTTAAGCTTAGAATATTTAAATGTGAAATGTATATTCACTCCGCACTGCACAGAAAGTGGGGCTATAAAACCCCCTTGCCATCAGTTAATAAGAAAATACCTAGAAGTGGGCGTATAGAAGCGCCCTCTGTCGGACGTGGTCACCTGGAGCCCGGCGTGTTGGTGCAGCGCGAGTGCGGGACGCAGCCGCCGTTCCTTCCGTCGGCGCACTCGTCCAGGTCGTGGCAGTGTTGTCTGGCCCTGCGCGCGAACTCCAGGCCCACCCCGCGCAGCTCTCCGCCCTCGAAGCCCCGGGGGCAGGGCCCGCAGCGGAAACCGGGCGACTCGTTGATGCAAGCCACGTGCGGGTGGCACGGGTTGGCCGCGTCGCACTCGTCCACGTCCTCGCAGTGGGAACCGTTGCCCTGTTGGAGGGAGAGAGATGGCGCCCGGGGGCGACGTCCTTATGCCCAGGATTTCGTGATTAACTTTCCTCCAAACTCAAAAATGTGCGTTTTTTTTTTTTAGCTTGACTGTTTGTTGGTGTCTGTGTTTGGTGCCACACAAAACGTTGGTGTTTAGCGGGGCGTAAAAGGGCCGTGCATATCATTTGTATGACCCATGTGACCGTCCTACAAGGTAGAGACAGGTCTCGGACAGTGTACGCGGACCGTCTTTTGTACGGTATATTAGCTGTGCGCCTGCGGCTTTCAGCGTATGAAAGGGAGCTCGCTGACAGTTCGCGTTAGTCGTGTCGGCTTGCGGTGTTTGTCGCGTGTCGCTCAAGTGGGGCAAGGCCTCGAGGTCGCGATCCGCGGAGACGGGAACAGCGCATGACGGCCGCCGTCCGCGCAGACAGAGCGCCGCATGCAGTCGTGAGAATCGATCTTGTGACCGGCAGGAGGCGGCCTGGGAGAGTCTCTATCGATTGACGGAGCGTAACTCCGCGGCCCGTCTCACGCGATCTGGGGCGTGCGTTTCACACGCTTGCGCCGGGATGGAGAGGGGGACCGGTCCAATAATTTAGGAATTACGGGAAGTAGAGCCGCCGATGCGGTTCCTGCTTGTCCGCCCTGCTCAGTTTTGGCGGTCTCTTAAGGTTTACTCCGGCCTTTTATAGTAAGCGACTTAACTGCAGTTCACCAACGAGTTAGTATTGGTTTACTGTATTTGTTTTAATTATTTTTTTTGTATGTTCCGGGTGATCACGAAGCTCGAAAGCGCGAGCTGGGTATTACAACCTGAATAAAAAAATTAATGCGGGCGCGTTCGTATTGTCCTCGGTGAAAAAAAAGGTAGGTTTTTGAGGGGAAGTCTGTCCGCTGCTATCATAAGCGCGACACGCGTGCACCTTTAGAGCCCTGGGAGGTTGGACCTTGTCGAGCTGGGAGCGTTGCATTGGACACGGCCTGCGCGAACGTAATTTCGCGTATAAAGCGCCCGAGAACGCTGCTCTGGAAGCTGGGCTGTTGGTCAAGGTTTCTTCGGATTCCTATGGCTAGGTCAGGTTCCCCCCGGATATGCGAGGTAGCGTAAAACGATTTCTGTATACTCAAAGATGCAACAGACCGCGGGCGAGCTGGGGCGGCCATCTACAGCAACACTCGCAATATCGTTTTTATATGGGCAGTTAGTTCTTTGTGTTCTATATACTCGACGACGGCGAGCTAATGTTTACCGTCTACAGCAACATTTGCAATCACGTTTTTGGATAGGCAGTTCATCGGCTTCATCCACGCTTTCAGACATTGCAGTCTACCAGCAATCTTTAGGATACCTGAAATCCTTCGGGGCAGGGCCCGCAGACGAATCCGCTTCCTCCTGCCACGTTTTTGCATTCGACTCCGGGAAAGCAAGGTTGCTCGTTGCACCGGTTGGTCCGGCGACAGGTGACTCCATCGCCCGCGTAACCAGGAGGACACGGGCCACACTTGAATCCGGACCTGGTGTCGCGACACGACACTCCTCGGAAGCATGGCTTCTCCGAGCACTGGACAGCCGCGACGCCGATGTTGATGACGTCGTCATCGTCGCCTCGCGAACGGCAGAACTGACATCGGGACAGGACTTCGGTGAGCATCAGCAGCGCTCGCGTCTGGACTTCAACAGCCTTCTTGGACTCTTGCAAAAGTTCCAGGAGGTCGATCAAGGCCCGCGTGGCGAGGCGGTTGTCGTTGAGGTCCTCTCCGCCGTAGCCTCTGGAGTTGACGTCCCGCTGTGGTGGTTCAGAGGGCGTCGCTGCCGCAACATCTGGAAGACTAGAGGCCTCCCGGCGACGGCAAGAGGTGGAGGCCCTCCAGAGGACGTCTACGAGAGGAACGTTTTGCAGGGTGTCCACGCGAAGGCGCTTGTCCCGGAAGACCTTGAGACCCGTCGCTTGGCGTGCCATGTCTCGAAGCGGCAGCGAGAGGGACAGCTGCTGCTGTGGTTGGCAGTCGAGGAAGACGTGGATTTCCGTGGGCTGCTCTGAAGGTACATCGCTTGCCGGTGTGGAGAAGTGGAGAATGACCTCTCGCGGTACTCCCGCGACGTCTACAATGGACGATGGGCTGTCTGGGTCGGTGGACTGGAGCTTGAGCCGTCGCTGTGAGCCTTCGAGGGCCAGACGTAGACCATGTGTCGTGGCTCCGGTGAACTGGAGTTCAAGAAGAGCTTGCTCTTGGCTAAAACGGGGCCGTAGAGGCGCCTCGCGGAGGACGACTGCCAGTACTGACGACGTGTTGGACGGTAACGTGCCGATAAGGCTGTGCCACAGCGCTGAAGACAAGGCGGCGTCGTGTGTCAGGTACGACCTGTGCGTTAGGGATGTGCCCTCAGCTAAGGTGGCTTGGACGGATGCCGTGGCAATGAGGATGACCACGGTGACGGCGGGACCACGGACGTGGTTGGTGTTGTGCTTCGGCTTCATGGCGTCTGGCTTGAATCGTGGCGTTGCCGGTCTATTTTGAAGAAGGACGTTTGATTCGCTGATTGGACCGGGGGATGGCGGTGGAGCGGAGTCAGCATCTGGTCTCGCTCGGGCGCGCTGTGGCGCAAGTGTAGACGTTGGCCTTGCGGACGGATGTGGGTCTAGAAGTGGTGTTATTGGTTGGTTTGGCCTGCCTCGTCGTTCTTGATGACCGAGGCGTCGACGGAAGGCCCTTGCTGTGCGAGTGGGGCACCGTTTGGGGGACGAACTTTTTATTCGTCGGAAAAGCTCGGGAACGTCGACTGTCTGCGGTGCTTTGCTTTTTGTTAGTTCGAAGCTTTGCGAGGAGGTTTTCGGGTTATGATTTTTTTTCCTCCCTCCCTTTTTTTTTTTTTTTTTTTTTTTTTTTTTTTTTGTTTGTGGCGGAGCTGATGTGCAGGAAGGGTGGGAGGTGAATTCGCGCGTTTGGCAGCCCCGCTAGATCCGTCGGGGCAATGAATGGATGGTCTCGGAGTCGAGGGTCAGGCGCTGAATGAATGCATCGCCGTTGCGTGCACTTGGCCGTGGCTGGGTATGGACGCCGCTACGTTGGCTGGGATCTGCGAGGGCAGTTCCTCACGGTTTGACGTTCAAGTTCGTGGTGGCCATCTGCGGTTGAACTGTCGCTATACGAAAATGAGCCACTCTGATTCTTCGTCAGACGCCGATATCAGCGCATGCGCAGTTTGTTCCGGAATGCCCGTCGTACCGTATCCTATGTGCGAAAACTGTTCCCTAAAACTCTATTAGCGAGTCATCACGGTAGTACGTTACCACATGACGAGGGAAATCGGCAACAGTCCGCGGCGAGCCGAACTTTTTTTTTTTGACTATGGTGCTTGAGCCGAAAACGAGCTTAGTGTCCTTGGCGGATTCCAAGTCATTAACCAGGCCTCCAGGATCGCCGTAATTTCCGGTCCTGGTCGATATTTGCGCGGCCAATTGTGTGGACCAGTTCCGCGCCGGTTGATGACGTCGTCAATGTGTGCGCACTGTGCGTTCTTCTGTGTGTCTAGCATTAGAAGAAAAAGAGAAAGAAAAAAGTTTTACGCATTGTTCATACGTTGCGCGAAGTTGATTGTCAGATTAAGTACCGATGCTTTTGGCGTTTGAAACGTCTACGTCTTGATAAGACGACATATACGTAATCTAGAGTGAACTTACCATATATCTTAATTCTGTACCAAACGGGAGAAATTAGTAATGGTCAGCGAGGAGCTGGAATTTGTTTTACTACGGTTCTTGAAGTGAAAACAAATATATGGATGTCGCAAATCTCCTGAGGACCGAGTTCTATCAGGGTCGAACTTTTAACATAAAGTTCGACCATTCTGCGCATCCGCGGACATCGAAAACGAGCTGGCGAACACGATAAGAGGGGGCGCAATGTTTATCGGGTTTATCGTTTTGTTGTTTCACATTAATAAACAATCTAAGCTTTAAAAACATTTGTTTGATTTTCTTGGTTCTCTACCGCGTAACGTTGGTAATCGTTTCATAAAATTTTAAACGCACTACCGTAGGATTTTTTTTAAAACCAAAATTCGAAACTTGCGTGTAGAAATCCGGTGACACTGTTCATAAATCAAACTTCGTGTCTTCTTTATTTTTTTTTTTTTTACATTGATAAGCTTTTACAATTTAATCCAAGTCGTCTGATTTTGTCAAAATGTTTCAAAGGTTAACGAACCTTCGACCTTTCGGCGAAATTGGACGAACCAGGTGAACCTCGAATTCGACAGAAGTTCGCGACACCCGTCGTTGGACGCTTGGAGCTTCTTCGCGGGGGTCCCTCGTCGTCATCGTCGTCGCGAGCGCAACCCGAAACGTCGCGTGTGTCCCGCCGCGCAACCTGCGCCTCGACGACGAGAGTGCGGCGCGTGTCGCGTGTCACTCGTCGCGTGTCGCGCATCCGAGTGTCGTGCCGCATGGTCCGCTATCCCGGTGACAGTGGCGAATGTCCGGCGGAAAGACCGTGTGAGTCCAGCTGTCTTGCTTCGCTGACTACCCCCCGCCCCCCGCACCCCCTCCCTTCTGTCTGCGGAAGTATTTACGTACACTCGATACGGCTTAGCGCGGACACGACATCGGAAGTTTTCTGCACTTCACTCAGAATATTTGTGAGCACTAAACTCTGCCCTGAGGGAGGACTTTAGGTTAAGAGTGAAATAGAAGCTCCTCCCACCTCTTTCCACTTTAACGGAGAGAATGCTGAGGAAGAGGCGACCTCCTCTCCAGCGTTCGCTCTGCTAAATTGGAAATGGGTGACAGGAGCTTCCACTTTACTTTTAATTGGTCACCGACTATAGTTGTTTTTATGGCAGCTTTCGGGAGAACAGGAAAAACTGGTGATCGCTTGTTCCCGATAGCAGTGTCGTGCTGTGTAGGTTTGTTCGTTGAAGTTGGCAATCTTACGTCACGTGACTTATAGAGGTACAACTGAGGTGGCTGTTGTATGCTGAATACACATGGCAGTAATGTAGTTTGTGCCACTATGGGTCACATGGTCAGTGCCACTGCGCGTCACGTGACATTACTTTGTCACGTGACTATTTTTGCTCATGTGGCACCGAAGCGCTGCACTTTCTGCATGTACCCTGTTGGAGTTGTGGAGTTTTCTGACGCTTGCATAAATTGCTGTTACGTGGAGCTGCCATGCATACACCAACACGCGGCGCTGACGTCATGCCGCTGCCGTGGTACTGCTTTCGGCACGTGCGCAGATGCTTCACTTCTCTCGAATCTGATTTCTGCACGTGCCCAGTGCCCTCACCTGACGTGGGAAGACGCGCGCTTATTTGTAGATACTTTGCTGAACCTCAAATTAAGCGGAGTTTTATTCCATATTGATTATGGTGAATGGTTTGGAAACTTTTTGGCGTTCTTTAGTGCATGTCTATTGTTTGAATCCACCACTCGCTTGTGCGGCAGCGGCGAATATTCTGCTTACTCAACATACTCGGCAAACACTGGTTTCTGTTGCCACTGGCTTTACTTGCTATCATCCCTGTTTCGTCAAATCGTCTAAGTAAACTTCCCCAACTAAGTGGGACAACCTCCTCACGGGAAACCCCCCCCCCTCCCCCCTTCCCCCTCCTCCTCAACTTAGCAGAGCAAGCTTTGGGAAAGGAGGCGAGTCCCTCTGCCCCTCTCCAACATTGGCTCTGCCAAGGTGGAAAAAGTGGAGGACTTTGTGGCAGGAGCTTGTTTGGCTTTTTTTTTATAATAGCAACAGGGTAAAGTAATAGCAGTAGTAATATTTATTTTGGTTCAGGAGAGCCATGGTGCCGCAGAAAGGCACTTACCCACACCATGAAGGCCCACGCCACCGTATCCATGGATGATTTGATCAAATAGTGCACAGTTGGCAGAGAGGTGTTTGAAACAGGCAGGGGTAGGGATTGAACTCTGGAATCCCTGAATCCTGCAACACCAAGGCTGAGGGTGACAGTCGCACCACATCCATCTTTTTCTCTCATATGTTTTGCACATTGTATCTCGTCGTGAGATGTGTGTCCGAAAATTCCGGAAGTTAGTTATGTTAACACACCATCAAATTCCAAGCTAGTTTCCACTTAAAATTTGGAGATAATGTAAAACTGGAGGATGGGCGCTCCTTGGGTCAGCAACGTGTAAAGATATGTCCTTTGTGTACTCCCGAATGATAAAAAATTGAGGGGTTTGACCTTGTTGGGGAACGGGCAGATGCTTGGTATTATGACAGGCAGGGCAGGGCAGGGCGGAACAGGGCAAACATAGGCTAGCATAAGCTAAGGTAGGTTAGTTTAGGTCATATTCAACAAAAAGAAAACACTGTTTGCAGGTAACTTTTTCTAAATCATCACCAGTGTTCCTTTTGATTTGTAGACCATGACCTGTCTGTACAGTCCCATCTTGAACTCACCCGATGCCTCTCCTCTGTGCAGTGTCGCGACGAGCAGTGGCGAGTCATGTCGCTCGTCAAGCGACTCTGCCTCGTCGGCGCCCTGCTCCCCAGAGAGCGTCCTCAGCGACTCCGGGGGAGCAGAGGGCCTCCCGGACAGTGCCCTGGCCTCCTCTGGAGACCGCCGGAGAGGGGAGGAGGACGACGAAGAGGAGGATGAAGACGACGACGACCGGCGCCTTCACCACCACCGTCTCAGGGACGACGCCACGACCATTGGTGGCGGGTCTCCCGCGCCTACCACGTCCGACCCCTGCTTCGCCCTGTCCAGGCTTCTGCTTCTTCAGCAGCACTGCGGCGGCAGGGACGCCATCCCGGCGTCGCCCTCGGACCTCAGGAAGAGGGACCGGAGGCTGGTGGACGAGGTCGTTGCAGCGGCCACATCGTCCAGGGGCTCGTCCCGAGGGTCAAGGTCCTCCGCCGATCATCATCAGCAACAGCAGCAGCAACAGCAGCAGGTCTGCACCACAGCTGTTGTGCCCACGTTGGCCAAGGATGGACGATCCGAGGAGGCGGCCGGTGCTGAACAGGAGGTGAGGACCACATCCGGGCATCTACCAAGTTCAAGATTATTCTAAATGCATAGCGTGTGTAGGGCCAACTGTCGGGGTATTCGTGCCCATGCCTGGCATGTAGCCTTGATTGTGACGCTATACCGATGACGCCACGGTGGTAACAATTTCTGTCTGACCGCCGTACTAAAGCGGTGACGAGTCTCAAGAGGCGTTTCTTTTTCTCCAGGAATATTTGGTAGGAACCAAGGGGTTTTTGAGACGGAGGAATCGACATGAGGTGTTTAGGTCTCTGCAGCACTGTTGAGCTGCCATGACCTAGATCGAGCTCTGTAGACAAACCGATCAAGGTGGTTTTCAATGCATCAGTCTATGGCCTTAAAGCGGCGCTGTTTCACAATATGTCAGATGGTGCAGAAGCGCCCATTGCCTTATTCGACATGTTGTGCAGACAGCACACCACCCTGATCGGTTTGTCCACGTCGTAACACCCAAGGGTTGCAGTT